TTCCCAGCCTTCAACTCTGTCAACGGCACCTTCCGCCTTCCCACTCCCCCTAAAACAACAAGCAGCATGCAGACTCCAGGGCTGTCCTCCCCACCCTCCATTCGAGGATGACCCCAGACCCCCATCCCTGGGAAGCAAAGCTTGGCGTGGATTGCTCAGGCTGTCGCTGGTTGGGGAAGGGAACACCTTCCATCTTGCAGCAAGCACACAACAGCAGCCCAAGCTTTCACCCAGCCCTGCTATAGCAACTGCTGATGGTGTGAAACAGCCCATGCTCTGGGATTTCTTGGTTGCCTGAGGGATCCTGAAGAAAAGCAGTGAAACTGCCCAGAGCCCTATTAGTGTCACACTTCGACTGCTGTGGCCGTGGGCAGGAGTTGTCTGCATGCCATGGTCGCAGCCTTCACTCCCTTCCTACTTGGAGCACTTTCCTCAGGGCTGGAGCTCCCCTTTGACAAGGAGAGGTTGAAAGGTGGGGGAAAAGGAGTTCAGCTCATCGCAAGTAGATGAGATGTCTTCCTGAAAGCAGATCCTCTGCCCACCTCAGTAACCCTTCACTCCCTGCTGCCCCTGCACATCTGGGAGCATCTCCCTGCTCTTCAATGTCAAACATCTGCCTGGCACCACGCTATTACAAATTTAGCTGTAACAAGCTTTGAAAATGTTTTCACGACTGCTGAAACACCTATCTTTCCAGCAGTTCAGTCATCCTCTCTCACACCTGAAAAGTATGTTTCCTAGATATACCAGGTACATTGTACTATGCTAAATTGAACTATTCAAAATGAGAGCATATTCTAATGGCACTGCTGACACAACATTAGCTACAGCATCTGTGTGTCATCGTGGCAAAACTATAATTACAATTTCTCGGTAAATCCAGGCTTTACATACCCAAGGAGTCAAACTCCCACGTGTCTTGCTCAATGTCTGCTACAAGCTTTTTGATCTGTTGCTTCTACTTCAATTCTTTGATCCAAAGCTTTGACAAAATGGACTCTTTTTTTTTTTTTTTTTCCAAATAAGGTTCAAAATGGCTAAAAATTGCAACAGAAAAAGAGAAAAGTACTTTAAAAATAATCTAACCCATAAGCAAAACCGCAGATTGAAATCTAGTAGTCATTTATTTGAAATCTATTTATCTGTGGATAGCCAGAACCCCAACTACTACACCACCCAGACACCAACATGTAGAAATTCCTTCTTCCTATAATTTAAGACGTATAATACAAGCTCACCTGCTCCCAACAAACTGCTTTAAACATTATCCTCTACTTCAAATCTCTTCTACTTTAAAAAGGGAGTTGAAAGTAATTTCGAGTTTTATAGCAGCCCATTCCCTCCAACAATTTGCGTGGTTTCAAAATTGATTTTCCTCTGGGTTTTTAAATGCATTCCTTTCTCCATGGGAAAGCACCATGCAACCACCACTAGAACATGAGGATGCAGGGGGGAACAGCAAGACTGATGGCGAACGGTGTTGCTCATTACACAGAGTGCCTTAACGACAATGTTACACCACACATTTTAAGGTTATAGCCGTGGTGGGTGTCACAAGACACCACAAAGTATTTAGACCGTGACTCCAACAACGTTTGTTTCATTTATGAAGCACAACAGCCTCCAATGCTACCAGGGCGCAGGAGAAGCTACTCAAGGGCAGTAACATGCCAACTGCGGAGACAGGTCAGACAGGCACCCCGGGGACAGGGGGAGCAGTTCCCCGTGTCCCCCACTTTACACCAGCAGTGGGGCGACACCCCACTTCTGACGCTCTGGGAATCCAAACCCTGCCCGACATTTCCAATACCTTAAAAGGC